TTCGTAAGCATGTCCGCAAGTTGGCGCTTCGTGTCGACGTAGTCCACCTTGATCGTAGAGCGCTCCACATTCTCCCGAATGAAGTGATGTCGGATATCCACGTGCTTGGTCCTAGCGTGATACCCAGCGTTACTCGCGAGTGCGATAGCACCTTGATTGTTCTCCCAGACCTAGGTCGCTCCACTTGCTGGTGACCCATGTCCTTGAGAATAGCACGTGTCCACAGTACCTCTTGCGTACACATACTCCGAGCCATGTACTCTGCTTCCGCTGAGCTGAGTGCAACCATTCTCTGGTACTTGGACTTAAACACAACCGGAGCGTTCCCAATCATGACCATGACACCTGATACGAAACGCCTGTCGTCAATGTTGCTTCCCCAGTCTGCGTCCGTGAACGCCTCTGCCTTGACATCTTGCGTTCCACTTTGGTAGACGATACCGTGCTGCCGAGTTGTCTTCAAGTACTGCAGGACCCGTATCGCTGCCTTCCAGTGTTGCGTTCCAGGATTTTCCAGGAAGCGTGACAACTGCGTTACAACGTACGCGATGTCCGGTCGAGTGCATGTTGTGATGTACATCATGCATCCGATCAAGGAACGGTACGGTCTTGACTGCATTTCACGCCGTTCCTTCTCCGTGGCTGGCGACATCATCTTCGACAGCTTCATGTTGGACGCGCATGGGTTATCCAACAGCTTGGCGTTCCGTTGGTTGAAGCGTTCTACAATGCCGTCAATGTACCGGGTATGCTTGATCATCAGCGTTCCAGCTGCCTTATCATGATCAATCTCCATCCCCAGGATGAACTTTGCCTCGCCAAGCTCTTTCATCTTGAAGGCTCTCTTCAGAGCGCCCTTTACTTCGCGAATCTCTCCGCGTGGCTTCGCCGCAATGATCATGTCGTCCACATACAGGCACACGTACACGAATGCGTCCCTGGAACGCTTGACGTACATACACTGGTCGGCTCCACAACTCTTGAAATCGTTCCGCAGGAACACTCGATGGATAGTCTTGTTCCGCAGCTTGCTTCAAACCATATATGTCCTTTAGCAGCTTGCACTTCATGCCTTCAGCGTTCTCCAGACCAAGTGGAACGTCCATGTAGACCAAATCCACCAAACCGCTGTTTAGGAACGCTGTGTCAGCATCCAGTTGCTCCATAATGTAGTCGCATGCCACACACACAGCGAGTACAGCTCGAATCGAGGTCATGTTTGCAACAGGAGAATACGTTTGAAAAAATCGATTCCAAACTTCTGCTTGAACCCTTGAGCTACTAGGCGTGCTTTGAAACGGATAACACGACCGGTCTCGTCACGCTTCTTGGTGAACACCCAGCGACATCCAATGGAACGCGTAGCCGTTCCACACGGAACCAACGTCCACGTTCCGTTCTGGGAATGAGAGTGTAACTCAGCCTTCATAACCCGACGCTATTCAGCTGGTAAATCACTGGCGATAGCTTCTGCGTACGTGTTCGGCGTATCCGGGACGCCTCCGATGCTGGCCGCGTATGCCAACACTGCCTCTGTGAGTAAACAGTCTTCATCGATCCTAGGACGCTTAGGAGACGGCGGTCCATCACTACCACTTTTAGACTGACGTTCCACATCGTCATCGTAGCCGTTCCCGGGCAGAAACACCGGTTCCCGAGGTCGGGTTGAGCGTTCCGTTTCAGGATGGAAGATTATCCGGTCTTCTTGGAACGCAGGAGGTTGTGCGCGGTACGTTGCCAGTTCCAGTCGACTCTACCGGCGTTCCTCCGGTGCGGGTAGCTGTGGTAGCTCTGCGTTCCGTTCCGGTTCAACATCGTCCATCTCAATGTCTTGAGCAGGTTCTTCCGCTTCTTCCATCGGTTCATCTTGAACAGACTGTCGTTCCACTTCTGGAGCTGGAACCACGGTATCGGCATCGTTCCTCGTCACATGGATGATCGTTCCAGAAGCTGGCGACGGCGTGTCATAGATACCGCCCACCTCACGCTCGTCCAGCTTTACCGATCGTGACACCTTCACCTTGGATGCATCCAAGTCGTAGACACGATACCCTTTTACGTTCTCTGCGTATCCGAGGAACGTGCACCTGAAGCTCTTGGGCTCCAGCTTCGTTCTCTTCACGTCATCCACGTGAGCGTACCCTTGTGATCCAAACACGCGTAGGTGTTCCATCCGTGACTTCACTTGGAACGCCAACTCATATGGCGTGACATCCGAGTTGGATGTGTTCGTGAAACGGTTGATAAGGTACACTGCAGTACTCACCGCTTCAGCCCACCACTCCGTCGACATAGACTTGTAGTGTAGCATGCTTCGTGCCTTCTCCATGATGGTACGGTTCATGCGTTCCGCAACACCGTTCTGCTGAGGGCTGTATGGAACGCTGCGTTGATGCACGATACCATTCAGCTCAAAGAGTTCCAATACCGTCTTGTTTACAAACTCCGTTTCATTATCGAAACGCAGGCACTTCAATCGTTCCCCCCACTGATTTTCATACAGCGCCTTAAACTCCTTCAGCTTGCTGCCCACATCACTCTTGCTCTTCATGAAGAATGTCACGACATACCTTGAGTAGTCGTCTACAAAGGTCAGCACGTACTTGGCACCCCCCTTTGAGAGCGTTCTCATTGGTCCCATAACGTCCGTGTGTACTAGTTCCAACACACGCGTTGTCTTCGTCAGTGATCGTGACGGGAACGCCGTCACGGTCTGCTTTCCCTTCATGCATCCACCGCACAAAGTCTCGCACCCCCTTCTTACTGGCGGGACACCGGTCGTGGAACGCTGGGTCTTCGTCAGTGCGTCCTTGTTGGGGTGACTCATGCGAGCGTGCCAAAGCTCCCACTCGCTGTCTGCATCGGCGTATTCCACGAAACGGACCTCCTCCTGCTGACAGTCCAAAAGGAACGCCTTACCGACCTTCTTCCCTGACGCTATTGCAGCGTTCCATCCCCAAATTACACAACTGGAACGCTGGAACTCCACATTCATACCGCGTTCCGCGAGCTTCCCGACTGACAATAAGCGTCTATCGAGCCCGGGGATGTGGAGCACGTCCACCATACGGATGCGTCTACCGTCCAAACCAGTCAACTTAACCGTTCCAGTTCCTGCGACGTGCAGCTTCTTGCCGTCTGCAATCGTCACCTCCATGCTAGTGTCCAACGACTTGTACTTAAACAGGTCGTTCCGGTGAGGGGTCATGTGCGACGTCGCACCGCTATCAATCAACCACCCGGCCGAGCGTTCCCCACCAACTGCAAACACTGCATCGTCTTGGCTACCCTTCTTCGTAGCAGGACAGTCCCGCTTCATGTGGCCCACGTGGTCACAGTTGAAGCACTTGCCCTTGAAACCAACGTTCCGCTTCGGGGCGTTCCACTTTCGACCATTCCCTCGGCCGTTTCGGAACTTGCCTGCGTTCCCATTCACTTAGAACGCCTTCTCCGTGGTTTCCTTCTTCTCCAGTCGCTCATACTCCTTCAACAGCTTCTCCTTGGCCTCGATGAGCGTCACACCCTTGGCGTTCTCCACGATAGACGATATGAGTTCGTATTCGGCGGGGAGGCTGCTCAGCAGTACCACCAGCTGACGTACCTCGTCCATGGGCTCTCCCAGCGTCTGCAAACCGACGATCAGCTCATCGAACGCATCCAGATGCTTGGCCATAGACGATCCGCTCTCCATCTTAAACTCGTGCAGTCGACGCGTCATCGTCACGCGGTTGTGGAGCGTGGTGCGATTGTAGAACTCCCGGAGCGTTTCCCATGCTTCCATGGAGCGCGTCGCCGACCGGGTCTTGGTCTGGTGCTGGAGTTCCACACCCTGGGCGATGATGCCAAGCGCCTTGGAATCGTTGACGATCCACGCCTCTGTGATCTCGTTCTCAGGCGTGACGACTTGAATATGCGCAAGCAAGCCCTTTCTGGCTAGCGTCATGCGCATATTGTACTCCCAATGGAAGTAGTTCCCACTCCCGAGGAGGACTTCGGCACGTTTGGTAGTCGTCATGGTCTTGAGCGTTCTTGCGTGGAGCGTTCCGTTTCTGGAGCGTTCCTGCGTGGAGCGTTCCGGTCGAGTTGAGGTTGCGGCTGTTAACCTGTTGTTGATGTTAGCGGTAAATGCCGAAGTGAGTAGATTAAAGTCAATTAGATCTGTCTCTAAACTTCTACTCTAGCGTTGTCCTCCTTGTTGTCCTCTTGTCAAGCGCTCCTGGCCATCCACCAGATTAACCGGTTTGGGAACGGTCCATCCTGGAACGTTCAGCCGGTTAACTGAACCGTGCAGAATCGGTGTGAATTAACAAGAATCAACATATCCTGATTTGAATGTACAGAAACGACCGAATACGGGACACGGATTGGTTGAAACTGTTTCATTAGTGGGGAAACCATGTTCGGGCCGGGCGTGTTTCAAACGTATGGCGGATTTCACCCTCGTTGTCTGTAGACATCTCGGGCTACATACTTCATTGCGATAGGCTTCGTACTACCTTCGTGCGGAGCATAATGCACGTTCCAAAAAAATTGGACAGCGGTCCGTCTCGTTTCTATTCGATATAAGGTTTGCGCAGGGCTGAAACTACATGTAAGCTTAGTCGAGTGATTTTGGTCTACTACGGAGTACCGATACGTAACAGACAAAAAATAAGTTTCGACTACGGGTGTGCTTGTTCCACGTAGCTGCTGCCGTTCTTGTTCCGCCATTTTAGCTGTTATTAATATTAGCTCCTAAGGCTTACTTTTGGACGTCAGATTACGACGCCGACAAATGCCAACACACACAGGCACGAATGCCGCTGGGACGTCCAGCTTCTACAAATGCTTCCACTTGATTCCCAGCATAGAGCTATGCACTAGAAGGTCTCACGCTCCTACGACGCCAAATCACAAGACGGGCAGGTCCTCCACGCCTTCACTCTCGAATGGGCAACGACTTCATTGTGGGACGACGTCAAGGCGCTAGTAGTGCTATTCGCCAGGCTTTCTATCTTTTCTTAAGCAATCGCGCTCACATGAGCGCCTACCAATACACCTTCCAGGACAAACAGAAACTATTAGAATCAACGCAATGAAGGCCCCGATGCCCTGCCGGCTCCCCCTCCTTGTCCACATACGTTTAGCACTGGGGGCTTTTCATATGCTCCCGCAGGCGCCAGCGACGTCTCTCCCCCCCTTCCTCTGTCCGGCTATTGATCTTGCTAAAGTGAGCGCAATGGGCACACAGCCAATAGTTTTGGAGGGAATGTATCGCCTTAGACGGGCCGCACGTGTTGTGCAGTAGTGAACACGCGGGTCATGAGAAAAATACGCAATATGCTCTTAACAGCACCATATATTAGCTTGAAATTTGTGAGTAAAGTAGCGAAAAAGCTTGTTGTATCTCATTTCGCTGTATTATCGTGCTCAAGTCTGTGATATTATAAATATATTTATGGATAAATATGAAAGTTTATCGGGCCATACTTGAATTTGATACTGGTAAATACTGCCATTTACCTCAGCAAAAATCGCCAGCCTCTCACAGTAAATCCAAATCATTATTTTAAGCAATCGGATTTAGTAGGTCTAGGTAAATTATCTAAGCCAATCGGACGTACAGAAATCTGCCTGAATAAGGAGCGCCTGCTATAAATTAAGAAAGAGATTGCATAAGCTGACAATGCCTCGTTAAAAAACAGACTAAGACATCGGATCTTGTGCATGTATTGAATTAAGTTAGGATAAATTGAAGATTCGACTTTTAATGAGTTGAATCTTCAATTTACCAGATAGCGCTGAATCGTGGAAGCGCTAACTTTAGACCATGCAGCCTCGCACCAGAGCAGTGCGGTTAACTGGTCGACGTTGTACGGGTTGTCGAGGCCTTCGCCTAGGCGATCCAATGCGAACATCATGTTTTGCGATAAGATGTAGCGTTCAATACTATTGATGACCCCCTCAACAAGGACGTTGCTTAGAGAGAGACCAACCTCTGCGCCTTCTTGCGTACAGCCTTCTTCACCGGCCGTCCGCGCAACACAGCACTTGGTTTAAGTAAGCGGCATATTGTCGTTTTGCCAGGGGCCGTTAGAAGCCCAAACTCTTCAACCGCCCACTCAGCTAGCTCACTATACGACACACTAGGTGAGCGAGCAGCCTTCTCGAGGATGGCTACCTTCTCGGACCAGGTGAGACGGAGACGATTGGAGGACATGGGGGTGCTGAGGACGCAGTCGGCTAGTTACCTTGAATGTAAATGTAGGAATGAAGTTCGGCTCATACGGCTTAAAGCGAAGGAGGATCGCCTACTGCGCGCCATTTTAGAATTTGAAATCAAAGTCAGTGCCTGGATAGTTTTGTCAGTACCTTGCCCATCACTATCACATCTCCCTAAATATTTCCCGACTATAAAAATTGCGAGGTTATTAGCTGAAACCCCGTTTCTTGTTCAGGCAGATTTCTGTATCAAGTCCAATAAATCTCTAACATATGTGTATGTTCATAAGCATCACTTTCATATTTCTTTTCATCGGACCTTTGCGATGGACTTGGAGGAATTCCAGCCTGTCATCACATCGCGGGCTAAGGCAACTGCTGTCGCAGCATTTTCAAAATGTTAAAGATGAGTTTGTTGATGATGTATACCTAAAGAAATGTAATGAAACGGATGGGAGTGGCAAGAGCTTTGTGTGCGCTATGGATACATTTGCAATGTAAAGTGCGTTTAGTCAAGGAAAGAGGTGTACATTGCTGGCGCGAAACACGGCAATGCAGTCCTATCATCAAGCCAAATTTATTGAGCTAGAGCGATTTGCTCAGTACCGAGCTTCGCTTGAATTGCGGCTACTTAAAATGAGAGAATCCCAAGACAGCTTTTGTCTGAAAAGAGATGGTGGTGGCTTCGTAGCAAAGGCTCCACCATGTACAAATGCTGACTCGAAAGGTATAGTGTATTTGTATGTCATTGAGGTTCTCAGAGCGATTTTCAAGATGCTGCTCTACTGTGTCTGCTCTGGTAATGTTCGGGCGAGCTTCGGACCTGTCGATGATCAAGAAGCGGAACATCTCTATCGATGACACTCGTGTCTTCATCGTTCGCTTAGTCGGTGTTGAAAGAGCAAGGTTTGTCTCACTCCCCCGTCGCCGACTTCGTAACGTGGCCCTTGATCGCCGTTCCTTTAGCCCTCTCCGTCCAAGTTGCACCATGCCCAGCCCTCGTCGGGAGCCTGCCCGACCATGTGATACAAACGTCAATCACATTATTACCTGACTTGCCGCTCGTGGAGCTCCTAAACGCACCATCGGCAACCTCTCGCTATGCTACGCCTGCTCTTCCTCGTGATACGGCTGCGGCCCCGACAATCTACGCACACGTCAACCGTGTGCTTGATCGCGTGACATTGCCGCCGTCGTGTCAGCCTACTCTCACGTCGCACTCCTTCCATCGTGGTGGGACCCAACGTGACAACGGCTGCGAGAAGGTGACCACCCGCCGGATCTTTAATCGCGGATCTTGAAACCTAAGCACCATAAACAAAGGGTCCAGTTACATTTTCAACACAAGTAGAGAAGGCCTCATGAGACCAAAGTATTGAGTGGATAGAAACCTCGAGGACCGTGTCCCTCTCCGAAACCTGCCCGGCTTTGACGCAGACACAGTTGACGCGACTGCCGAGCCCCAACAAGGCTAGCTCTCGGCTTGCTACCAGCTAGAGAAGAAGGGTTTCAACATCAACAGGAAGGTTCTGGACGTCCTAACCGCGTTCGTCGTTAATCAATATCCCATCGTAAAGGTCTTCAGCCCCAGCTTTCCTGTTATGCAGCGACCGGTAACCTGTGTTACGCAGGCAGGACGTACGCTACCGGACCTTTAAGACTGGACGACGCATCTTACAGGAGCGAATCATTCCGGTAAGGACAACAATAGCAGCGTCCACCTCACCATCCTTGCCTATCGAACCAAGCCAAAAACAGAAGATCAATGACCACGAGGCCGCTGTAATTAAACCCCTTATCACGAACTTCAAGCGTCAAGACGGACGCATGGCTATGCTTGAGGCTATGCTGAACGGCATTCCTGTAGCTTAAACGCAAAAAAAAAACATTTAAGATGAAGACGGCGCAGATGTGAGCAAACGCAAGCTAAAACTGCGTAGAGGATCGGCTATCTACCTTCATGCGATTTGCTTTACCTGGTATGCGCAAGGGCCACACTGGTACGCTAAAGTACCGAAGCAACAGCGCTCGAAGGTCCACAGCGTAGGCGCGCTAAATTCCAAGATCCAACGCCACCGTCAGTTGTTTAGACAGCTGCAATCCAAGGACTGGCTACACGCAGTAAGTTCTTGAGGAGGTTCGAAAGTAGGGCAAATAAACTAGATTGGAATGTATTCACCCTTCCTCACAGCATTAAGGCATGTCGACCTCAGGACACGTATGCAGTCACTTTTCCTGCTGATCTGAGCTGTCCTCGACTTTTCGACTTCGCCACAGCGCCTCTAGCCCAAGCAGAAGCAATGCCGATGACCCTATTTGAACCGGCATCCTCAAGACCGAAGCCTTGCGCTCTCCCAGCTGAGCTACACCGTTGGAAGGGGGTCAGAGGCGACCTGGTGGCTTAGAAGCCCGTGTATCTCGTACAGGGCATCAGCGTAGCTGCGTTAAGAGATGTAATACTGATAAGCGGTCAGAAACGAATTGAATGAAAGTGAGAGGCTGCAAACTATTCGATTTCTGTATTCTAACGCAAATACAAGTGGTACGTTTTTACTGGCAACAAAATATGCAATATTAGCTATGATAACTGGCTGTCGTCAATCTTTATTTACCGAACACATGCAAAATTATATTGACGATCGTGGCGTTTCTGCCTCATTGTTAGATTTGCTAGCTCGTGAGCACGTGACTCTTATCCCAAAATTACATAGAAAAAACCAAAGTTGTGATTTTCTCAGCCCAGAGGGCGTTTCAGGCCATTTCCTGCCGTCAACAGACAGTCTATTTGATCACGCTTTGGTATTTTCCGTCATTTCACGTCGGATATGCACTCCTATAAACCTTTTACGTATCTGGGACAAATTGTGTACTATAAGTTAGTCCAATAAGGCCATCCAGTCTGATAATTTTTGGTATGGGGAAGCACGTCGTAGTGAGCAATAACCTGTGATTACCTGTACAGAGAGTAAAATATATGCGTTGAAGAAGCGGAATCAACTTTCCTAAGATTATTTTTAGCCATCATACGTTTCTGACGAAACTACGCATAAATGCATATCTGCGAATCATCATTGTTGACGAAGCAATTATGAATTTCTGCCAATCACCATTGCTGACGAAGCTCTTCATGGATATTTGTCGAGGGAAAACTGAAGGGGCAAATACCTGAAATATTTCGAGTAAGCAGACATGTCAATTGAATCCCACATAAGTGTACCATATATATATAAGTGGTAATATTAGTAAGCTGGTAAAAACATCAGCACAGTTGGCGATTTCGAGCCAATCCAAAACAATATGTTTCGCAAAGGCAACGCGTGACCATAAGTCCTATCAGCGTCAATAATATACCAACTGCATGCAATGAGCACGCTAAATTAGTGAGGACTTGAAGGTGCCACACTTTCCTTTTCGACGGGTGGCTGGGAACGTTCAAGAAACGACACACAGAAGTCACCCTTATTAGCGTAGGGGGTCGGTTGATAAATTTGCATAGGGAAATCAAAGCGATCTGGTGATTTGTCTGTAATTTCTTCAATCTCTATGATCAAGCGGTACATTATATGATGTGCAAGCTACGTTTAACAGGGGGACTTCTGTATACGAACGAATCTGGTTGTGTATTGACGAAGTGCTGTAGTGCCTTTCTCCTGTGCTCGACCGATACAAGGTACTAAACTTATACATGTAGGACGTTTTAATTATACTGACACGGGACTGTTTCAGAAATGGCCGCAGATCCACACTAGAGATAATTCATTATATCTTGGTCCGGTAAGCTTGGACCGTTCACGTTCTCAACACAGTATAGGTACTGGATCCACCGCGATGAATTTATCCTGAAACAAAAAGCTAACAAGTTACATTTATAGCAATGTTCCTGGTAGTGCTAAGAGTAGTTATACGTACAGCCCAATAGGGATTAATTCGAGATTATGCGCGCACACCAATAGTAGGTATCGATTCGATACAAATTTCAAATTAGAAGATTTTATTTTTCTATCAAACTTCACAGGTTTCGCTCAAAGTAAAGATTTGGCATGGGTATAAACTTATAGAAACTTGGTGTACGAAAGAAAATATTGCTCACATTAACAAATGCTTGGAGATGTTATTTTTTTTCGTAAATTTTACTTTTTCAGTTTTTCTTACACGGCTAGGTGTTGTGCTAGAATAACACTATTATCGTATTTGTAAATCTTAATAACTACAAAGAGGTCTGTAAACAAAGCTGTCGAGGCCCACAGCGGCATTATCTGTCCACCTCTAGGCCTTGTTTGGTGGAAGCTGCAGTGGTTTCAATGCCTTGCTGCTGCCACTTGACGCAACATCGAGACGCTGAGGATCCTGGACATGGTGATTCGGGAGCTCTCGGTATTTTTTGCGAAGTGATAAGTCCGCTCGTATGTGTCTTTAGGCCGTATCGCCTGCCGCCGCGGGCGTCACTAGTGGTGGACTCGACCGGCCCAAAACTTCCCCGAGCAGAGCGGAGATGAGTATATAAGTGGACGATAAGTAGACGAGCAAAAGAGTAAAGTATCATGTAGATAGAGCAAAGATAGCCGCAGCAGCTCACTCAACGCCGCGGCGACAAAATATAATGCCCTCGGGCGGTAGTCGCCGCAGCTGGTGAGTTCGCTGAGAAATTGTAGTTGTGAGCTTTTTGAAAGAAACAATATTTCCGGTGATAGAAAATGATAACGTCACTCAAATCGTCTTAAACAAATTTACAAATTCTGGATGTGCTGGAGTTTAGTCTGGTATTGTATTTTATCTGTAGATCAGATACGGTAAAATTCAACCTATTTACAAATGATCGAGTCTAGTTTTAAAAATAAGGTGTTAAAATCTGCAAAGTGTAAGGCAGCAAGAAGAAAAAAAACACTCAGGACAACGAATCCCTCGTGGCTGATTGGAAATGATAACAAATTTGTAAGTTATCATTAAAAGTAGTGCGTTTAAGAGAGCAAAAGACCCCGGCTAATGGTAAGGTAGTTGGTGCGAAGCCTTTGGCTCCCAGAGCTACTAGCGCTGCGCAGCAGCACTACCAGCCCAACTCTAGCTAATTGTTAATAAATGATCACCTGAACATTAATGGTTTACCAGTTCTCTGGATTTTATCCAGAGTAGTTGGGGCGATACAACCGGAGGTACCAATCACTACGAGAACATCTAAGCTGTATTATTTAATATAAAAGAAAATGTTGGAAAGGTTTAAATAACTTGTCAATATTAATCACCGTGTATATGCTATTAATATCCAATGCATGTTGCTTGAGTCATTTACGGGCGACATGACGACCAACACTCTGACAATAATATAATCATACAGGAACGAATTACTACCTACGGGCGACATGACGACCAGCCTCAATATTTTTCAACTGCCACACCCCACAAGGGCAAAAGCACCACCGTCGCAACCACAACCTTTCCCACTCGAACGCCCTACAAGCTTTTTTTCCTTTTGTGGTCATTACGACCAGCCTCAATACTTCCCAACTGCCACATACCACAAGGGCAAAAGCACCACCGTCGCCAGTGATGGCACATGGCGCCTTATCATTTCTGTTGAAACTTTGAATTGACGGCTGAAACTTTGTAGAAACGTTGCGCTTAGTTTCAGCATTACAGAACAGCCGTCTGTTTGCGAAACGGCGCTCTAGAAGCTGAGAAATAGAATGTGTTTATACTCGCCTAAACTGCCACAAAGGCGCCTTTACTCCATTTCTGCCATCACTGCGCTGCGACGCCGTCGGACGGCGTCGCAGCCATCAATTCAAACGGAGCGCTTGTAAATATTACTAAGTACAAATGTATAAAATTAACTTGCGATAAAATCCAGAGCTTCCACGTGCTTATGCACGGTTTAGTTAAAACTTTAACACATAATAATTATATTTAGATATGAGTTTTATGCATTAGACCACACGACGCTTATTATAAGATGATGTGGCGAACACAAACTAGACGTATAGATAATAAAGCTTAATATATTGTGTAGTCTTTGACGAACTTCGAGCAGAGTATATGGTGTTACATTTTCTTGGGGCCAAAGTGCAGGTCCTTTATCGGTGAGTTGACGAGCACTTTACTGTTTATATAAACTGACTGTCTTACATGGACGGCTGCGCAACTTAGTTAGCAACCAATTTAGCTGGGTTTTGCGACTTTAAAGAACTGAGTTATGTTGTTGGGGGACATTGTTAAAGTGCTGGCAAACACCGCTGGTTTGCGTGATGTTGGAGGACGGCAAACTTTTTATGGTCCTAAGTTGCTAAAATGACAAGCATCGCTGGTTGGGCAACTTTGTTTATTTAACGTAATGTTGCATACGTTAACTTGCTACAATAACAAACATCGCTAGTTTCGCATCTTTGCTGAGGTAGTTCTTCCAGCTGCAAATAAATAAACAACTGAGCATGTTCAGGGACAGTACCGAGACGATTAAAGTATTTTAATGAGTTATGGATATCTAAAATACTCACATCCTAATGTTAATTTAAATTCATAAGCTAGCTTTGAACATGCAAAAGAAAAGGAGAAATAACTAAGTGTAACGAGTCTCAGGACGCCTGCTCGCCGGCGGGTCGCACCGCTCACTGCCCACCGTCTGTAGGTGAACTACCAGGGTTCCGAGGCTCGTACGCAATCAACACTGTACTGGCTGCTCTCAAGCCGCCGGGACGCGTCCGTCCCTATTTGTATCAACTCAACCACTCTGCTCTACTCGATGTAGAGCTCTCAACTCAACCTCAACCTCAGCTGCGTCTTACTGCTCAGCCCTGCCTCTCACAGGACCGCGGCTCACCGCGCAGACACGCTTAGGGGCCACCGAGGCAGTCACACACACGTCGAACCCTGTGTCCGCCGCACTGGTTACCGCCGGTAAGCCCGCGTGCAACAACAATCAGACTCGTCAAAGGGCTAACCCCTTCTGACTCGCCCACTTCCTCGAACCACGACCACCACCACGAACGGCTCCACCCCGTCGCTCTCTGCCGAACTACCCACTCGCTTCGTGCCTTACGGCTCTGCTCCAAGAAAGCCAGGCAGCTCTGCTCGCCCGGCACTCGACTCGTTCTCGCGCTTCTCCGGCTGTGCTCGCAACGACCTGCAAGTACTGGGCCACAAACACGCGCTCCGCAACCGACGCACCACTTTGTTCGTACTCGAGCCACTTGCGCCTCGTGGATCCAATTTTTAACTGAGCTCGAGCCGCCGCTCGCCGCTCAGTGTCCCCATCACGTCCCGAATTCTCGGTCGACTTCGACGTGAAGCAGCAGCTCTACTGACTTCTTACAGTGCTACACTTCGTCGTCTCACCACCTCATCCTTTCGTTTATTGTTCTGCTAGGGCCCACTACCGCACACTCATCGCCCTTCGATAGTAACGGTCGGTGTCGTACCCACTGCAGCTGTGGGTACAGACTGTACCGTACCGTGGCTCTTCTTGTCACGCGAGCCTCTGCCGCTCACATTCACCGCTGGTCCCGTGAACTGGCGTCGTCTCCGCTTCCCCACGAACGAGCTGCCCGTGTTCCGCGCCGGGTTGCAGCTGCCCGCCTTCATCAGCAAAGACCCGCTCAGTCCCTCGTACTAGTGCCCTGTTCGCTAGTTGCGCATCTTTGCTGAGGTAGTTCTTCCAGCTGCAAATAAATAAACAACTGAGCATGTTCAGCCGAGACGATTAAAGTATTTTAATGAGCAATGGATATCAAAAATACTCACATCCTTATGTTAATTTAAATTCATAGGCTAGCTTTGAACATGCAAAAGAAAAGGAGAAATAACTAAGGCAGGGTATTATGGGTAAATATAGCACATCCTAATTTTAATTTAAATTCATAAGCTAGCTTTGAACATGCAAAAGAAAAGGAGAAATAACTAAGGCGGGGTATTATGGGTATATATAGCTTGATGATGCTGGATATAGCATATTGTGAATTTTCGCACAACCTCGAATACTCTGAGCGGTAAAGCAAACCTTTCAAAGCTCCACCTACCAAAATCAAGTCACAAACAAATCGCGCATCTTGGTGAAACATTTTGACATGTGGCTCAGCCAAGAATCGTACTTAGAAAGATTTCATGGTCAAACAAGTGCATCGCGCGATTGGCGGTCGTGTTTGACAGCGAGAAGGGCATTTACTCAAATTGACTCAATAAAATACCGAATATTTCTAATATCTATTTGGTAAACTGGAGCGTTAGGGGTACCAAACACCTTGGAAACTCCATCCTTTTCAGTATATGCCATTGTTCATGGTCAGTCAGCTCATCGCCCTTCTCGACCATGGGCTTTGCCGAGGAACAATATATATCGGGTTACAGCGTTTGCTTCGCTCGCTCGCATCGAACAGCCAGAGACTCGCTCTCGTAGCCGCTCTCAGTCTACTTGGAAAGTATAACTGGCTCCAGTTAAGAGCTACTTCTATTACTGTAGTAAGTCGTAAATTAGAGCTGGAGTATTCAGAGTTAAATTTATAACTGAAATAGTCCAAAGGACTGCATTACTTGACCAATTTATTGTGCAGCAAAAAAAACTCGATAAGATGCTATTCCCGAATGGTGGTCCTTTTTAAACCTATCAGAAGAACCGCCAATTGAATCGGTGTCCCTTTATCGACGGTAGATTTACCAACATATCGTAGGCACTAGATATACATGCAGCAAGTAGTCTAAAGCAGCACTACCAAGCCGAAGATGACAGAAGAAAATCTGAGTTCACGTTGACAACCATGTTTTCATGCTGTTTAACCCTAACAATATGCTACCAAAACGTAACGGTCCTATCGCGAGTTCATTTAGCGGATTCGGCCATCCCCGTACCAACGGATGGTGTCGCTCAGCTGTTTTTGCGTCAGATGTTTCGTCAATTTCTGACGGATTGTTTCAGCCGAGTAACCGTCCTTTCCACTTTGAAAACAGCGTGCTCGTTTTACCGTTAATTAGGTCGTTAATTTTCCATTGTTTGAATCTCTCCTCCTCGTCATCGATACCGTTTTCTTCATCGTTATCTTTGTCATCAAAATTGTCGCCATCAGCGTCTCGACCGGTGCGTAGGAGCCGCTTATCAGTGGCATGGTCTGGACCAATTAATTTGGCTAAGCCACTCGCCAAAATAGAGGTTGGCTGAGCGTCCGGAGCCGCAGTGCTTCCGCTGACAGCAATTGCGGCTAAGAGGACAGCTACCACGCGCATGATAAAGGCGCTCTTGTTGGTCTTGAGAGGTGAGGGTCGAAAAGCAGAATGATATAGTCGAGTGGATGTCATGTACTGAATGGAGAGAACGCCATAAAAAAACACTGTGATGGTCCTGATGTAAACTTCGATGTCGTAACACGTGATGACGATAAACTTCAACCGAACATGACCCCCCCCCCCCCCCC